ACTCAAGGACTTCTGGTTATTGTAGGCAGTTTTATATCAGAAAAATGAATAACAATACTGAATACTGTAAATGTTACTCAGTTCTTCAGTTGATGTGATATTTGAATTTTCAACTTACTTGTTATAAAATTTTCTTTTTTTACTATTAATTTTTTATTGTTATTATAGAAATGATGTTCAAAAGAGTTAAAGTTATATAAGTCAGGTAATAAGTACATTTCTTTTCGGACCTTGTCCCCTCTTTCTTTGCTCTCTCCCAATTTTTTCCTCCCACCCCATCAATCTCTTTTCACTAAGCATGTGAAGAAGAGTCCCAAACTTGATGCTTCTTCTGCAGAGTCTCTCTTCCTATCTACCTTCTTCTGTCTCTCAGATGGCCAATTCTGCCTGGTCATTTGTGAATGGCACTGTGGTTTTCCCATTAATTAATTCACCTTAGTTTCATGTGGGAACAGAAGCTCCTTCAGGTTTGTGACTGATTGTTCTTGTATTTGTCTTAAAGTCCTCGATGATACTATTGACTTTTTGAGATAAAACTTGCCCTGCTCTTCTTCTCTAAAAAAATGATTTATTATTCCTTCTCCTGTTTCCTTAGCAGTGTACCTCTGTAACCCTCTTGAAATTACTTGCTACTGTTTTTCCTGTCTTCTCACTAAATGGAGATGGTACACAAAGCATATTCAGATGCACAAAGCAGTTCATGTTGTGAGTGCCTGAGAAATGCCTTTTAAGTACAAGTTGCAAATGACAATATTCAGAGGTATTGAAATTATATTTATAGAGTTGATGGCATCATGTTTTGTCTGAGAGCTTCAATATCCTTGGATAGTGTAACAGAAAATTCTATAAGGAGTTTAAAAAGAGTAATGAAGTTAAATTTTGATATGAGAATAAAAATACCACATATGAAGATTCTACTGGAAGATGTGATTCATTAAAAAAAAAAGACAGCAATATTGTCTGGCTAGTAATGACACCGATCAACATTTTATATTTCCAGGGAATTTAAGGTCCATATAGCACGAAACTAGTGGCACACACCTGTAACCCTAGCTAATCAGAAGGCTGAGATCTGAAGATTTGAAGTTAGCCCAGGCAGGAAATTCTGTGACTCTAGTCTCTAATTAAGAAGCAAAAGGCTGGAAGGAGAGGTTTGGCACAAGGGACGGAAATCTAATCTTGAGAAAAATAAAAACTCAGTGACAATGACAACATGAGGCCCTATTAAGTCTAAGTACCAGCACAAAATACGAAACAATTTAAAAAAGCCTTTGTAATATACCATAAAATTGACAGTTTCTGAAATTGCTGCAATAAATATTTACAGTTTTGTGCCAATACTTTACTATCTTTTGTGTATGTTTATATGGATCCTGAGGCTTGAACTCTAGGACTGAGTATTGTCTCTGACCTTTTTGGTTAAGGCTATTATCAAGACTAGCACTCCACTACTTGAGCCACAGTTGTGCTTCTGGATTGTGGTTGTGAATTGGGGATAGGAGTCTCACAGACTGCTATCCTCTGATCTCAGGCCTTTCGAGTAGCAAGGATTATAGGCTTGATCCACAGACATCTGACCCATATACTGAAATGTACAAATTAATACAGCTGTTAAAATTTCTGCAATATATGCAGAGAGAATATTTTAAAAAGTAGTAACATACCCAGGTTATCAATTGTTACCTGCTCAAATAATCAGTGACCTGATCCCCACCCTAGTCTTGACTCTTAGTAGCTTTCCTCCTGTGAGTTTCTGGAATGCTCTACTCTTTTACACTTGCTTCATTGTCTTTTGTTCATATCATTTTACTGAAGAATTCATTCTTGCTTTCCATTTTAACATCAAGATCATTTTCCAGCCACTAATTAATATTTTCTTCCTAAAGTTCACTTTTTCTGATCTATAGTAATGTAATAACCACATGATTATTTATATAATGGTATGTATAATAATGTGTACTAGCATTTTTATTTGTGTGAGTATTTAGATCCTCTGTCACTGACATTCTCCCTAGAAAGTAAAAACTCCAAATTATCAAGTAGTTTTATGATCTATTTATATTTGGACTGTATTCACAAGATATGCTCTATGCATTTTTCTCCTTTTATAAAAGTAGGAAAATTGCAATTAAAAAGTATATTTTCTGAACATCTACTGGGAGCAAGTATATGAGAATTTTTTCTTTTTTCATATATATTATTAATTGTAAGAAATACTGTACAGAGGAGTTACAGTTACATGAGTAAGGTAATGAATATATTTCCTATCAAGTATTATTAACTCCTCCTTTGTTTTTCTCCTACAATCCCTTCCCTCCACACCTTCCCAACTTCCCCTCCCCTGAAGTTGTAAAGTTCATTTTCAACATAGAGTCTTGTACATATCATTGTTACAATGGGTCAACCCTTATCCTTGTTTCAGCATTTTGTTATTTCCCTTCCCCTCCCCAAATTAGAAAAATGTATATACAAGATGCAAAGCACCAGAATCAAATACAGTGAAAACAGGGGTTATACCATAGGGGAAGACCATACGAAAGAAACAAAAAAATAGAATGGAAGAAAGACAGCTTCTTCAGTAAATGGTGCTGGCAAGATTGATTAAACACCTATAGAAAACTAAAGCTAGATTCCCATATATCATTCTGTACCAAAATCAACTCCAAATGGATCAAAGACCTCGAAATAAAAGAAAATACCCTGAAAATATTACAAGAAGGAATAGGAGAAACTCTAGGGCTCCTTAGCACAAGCCAGAATTTTCCTAATAGAGACCCAGAAACAAAACAAATCAATGAAACGTTAGACAAATTGGATTGCATGAAACTGCAGAGCTTCTGCATGGCAAAGGACATAGATAGCAAGATCATTAGAAAGCCCATGCATTGGGAGAAGATCTTTACTATTTATAGAATGGACAAGGGTCTCATATATAATATATACTTAGAACTCAAAAAAATTAAATCCCCCAACAAAAAATCCTCATAGAAACAACGGCCCAATAAATAAGTGGGCTAAAGACTTAAAGAGAGACTTCTCTGAAGAGGAAATAAGAATGGCCAGTAGACACATGAAGAAATACTCAACTTCTCTAGCCATAAAAGAAATGTAAACCAAGAAATCTGATAACAACAGATGCTGGAGGGTATGTGGCCAAAAGGGAACCCTACTGCATTGTTGGTGGGAGTGTAAACTTGTTCAACCAAGTTGAAAGCAGTATGGAGGTTCTTCACAAGACTCACATAGAGCTTCCTTAAGACCCAGCAATCCCTCTTTTGGGCATTTACCAAAGGATCACAAACAAGGTTATACCGAAGGTACCAGCACAATTATGTTTATTGCAGCATTATCACCATAGCTAAGATATGGAACCAACTTAGATGCTCCTCAGTAAATGAATGGATCAAGAAAATGTGGTATATATTTATACAATGGAATTCTATGCCTGCATCAGAAAGAATAACATTGCCCCATTTTTTAGGAAATGGAAAGATTTTGAAAAAAATTATATTAAGTGAAGTAGGCCAGACCCAAAGAAACATAGATTCCATGGCTTCCCTTATTTGCAATAACTAGTATATGTGTAGCTATGTACATGTGACCATACAAGATGATGCTAACTGAAATGAACCCCAAGATAGGGACACAAGTGGTGTTATCCTTCTTTCTGTTGTTTTTAATTTTTATTTATAATTTTTAAATTTTATTTATAATTTTTTTCTAATTTTTTTCTTTAGACATTGTAGCCCTAGTCATCAGGCAGCCCTGCTTTGTCGCTGATGCCCTGAGACCCAAACTGTCCTCACACTTTCCTATCTTAGTTTCTGACCCACAGAATCCAGAATCTTTTTTGTTTTTAATCTTTATTGGATAGGTGATTAATAGGGTGGTTACAATTATTTAAGTAAGGTAATGAGTGCATTTCTTTTTTAAACACCCTTACCCCTACCCTCATTTTCTCCCACTTATCCTTTCCTTCTTCCCTTTCTCCCAAGTTCTAATGTTCATTTCCAATACAGTGACTAGTGAGTATCAATGTTGCATTAATTCATTCTGTACTACTAAAAGCAAGTGACTTTTTTGTTAGCTTCCTTCTAGAATTTACAAGACTCCAAGGAGGATAAAAGAAGCAATTATTTCAAATCACTGTCAAAGAAGACTTCTCGTTAACATTTCCAATGTGTAATGATGATATATTTCCATGAATGCATACTTATGTCAAAGAAAATAAATAAAAACATTAATGAGTAATTTCTTGATGATTTTAGCACTCTCATTCTCTCTTTCTCTCTCCCTCTCTCTCTCTATATATATATGTATGTATATACATATATATATATACACATATAATAGGTGACATTAAGTTACCTTAATGAATTAGTTGCTTGAATATTTTCCATATTTTAATATTTCTGAAATTGAAAAACACATTGGAATTAAAATACATTGGAATGGGCCAATATTGCAGTGAAAAACTTGGTGGAATACCCAGAAATTAAGTGTCAAAGTATGTTTTTATTTTTTTTCGTTTTTGTTTTATTACTTAAAGAAATACAATTGCATAAGCAAGAAAATTGTGATCTTTAAAGAAAAATGCCACATAATTGCAGGAGGCAAATTAGATGCATTTCATGGTTTCAGGATTCTTAAAGCAGCTAAGATATCGACTCAGCAAATCTCTTGCATGCTTAGAAAAAAAACTCTTTAAAAGTTGCCTACAAGATCATAAGCATTAAATTTCCACAGCCTGACAGCTCTATGAGGAAAAGAGGAGATTGTATGTCATCTCTTTCAACAATCATAAACTAGGTTTCATGTATTTTATGCTTTAGAAGTTACATGGCTTTTAAGAATTGATGGCAGAGACCTTTTCTCTGTGTTACAGACCAGGCTTTTGATTATAGAATCTGCATCTTGCATTAGTTAACACTGATGTAAGGTCTGGCCTTGTCAGCATTATTTGATGTATGCCAGTATGTGTAACTCCAGGTTTTCATCAGGATAGTGACCTGCTGGACCGGAGGAAACACTGCTTCACTGTGCAATCTGAGTCTGGAGAGGACCTCTATTTCTCTGTGGAGTTAGAGTGTGACCTTGCCCAGTGGGAGAGAGCCTTCCAAACAGCCACCTTTCTAGAAGTGGAGCGGATACAGGTGAGGGTGTGGAACATAGACCCTTGGGGCTCAGAGTTGCATGATTCTTCCTCTAGAGTTCTAATAGAAACTCAACAGAGTTCTGAGAAGCTTGGCCTCTGTCTCAAGAACATTCAAATAAATGAATGACAAGGTATCTCTGAAGAACATTTTAAATTTCTACCATTTTATCCTTTTAAAGTGTCTCTTACCAAATAGCACTTGGTGACATGTTGCTCTAATATGAAGATTATATAGAAATGCTCCATTTTTTGTTGTTTACAAGGTTGTATCCTGTTCTCCAATCATGATCATTCTACACCTGCTATCTTCATATATTCTTCATTTGCTCATATTAATATTCCTTTAAGAAAGTGCTTCTTTCATCTGTGCACTTCATCAACCTTATACAGAGGGTGAAACTTGTTCTAAAGCTTAAGCCTTTGTGTATGCCCCCTGACTGCCACCTTCTTCCATAACAACCCATACTACCTCTTCCCTCTTTCCACCTCAGTAAATAATAAAGCCCCTTCTACTGTTTTTGTTGTTTTAGAACTACCTCCACTCTGTCTTGTACTTCAGTGACATGTATATGTTCTTTGCACTATCAGAAGTGAAAAACAAATATTTGATTTACTGTTTTTCTTTTAGCTTTTAGCTTCTATAGGTTTTTTGTTTCTTATTTAAGCATTTTGTTATTTCCCTTCCCCTCTATACGTGTTTTTTATGCCTCTTTATTGCTATATCAGAAATTTGGGCTCACTTGCTAAATATTTAGGTAGTGTTGTTTTCAATATCTGATATACGAGAATATGTATATGAAGAATTATGATTATCCTTTACATTTTCAATATTTATCTGTCACTGTAGTTGGTACAAAAGTAAAATAGAGAGAAGGCGGGTAATACAGATTAGAAGCAGTTATACCTGTGTATAAAGACAGCATAATGAACCTCCCAAACACTGAAAAAACAAACAAACAAAAAAAAGGGCGGGGAAGTAGGGAAACATCAGATGAGATAAACTTGCTCCAAGTACATAGAGTGCATCAGTGGAGTTCCATAATGAAACTCCTACGCATTATTAATTATTGCTTATTTAAAATAAACTCATATTTTCAAAACAGAAAAAAAGAAGAAATATTTCCCCTTTTTAAAATAAGTATGAAGAGGAGTAATGAATTGACTCAGTATTGATGAATTCATAAGTAAATTTACTTTTACTTTGAAATTGGTTTTAGCTGGTAGGACTAGAATTGGATTTCATTAAGAAGACTTAGAAGAGGATAGAGAGTTTCTAGCCAGTTTCTTTATAAATTTTCATATTGTTTTGAATCTCTAATTCATTTCATATTTATATAAATATTAGCATATTTATTTGTATGATCCAGGGAAATGTATTTCTGAAACATTTCATAATGGCATTTAAATAAACACTTTAAACCTGAAAAACATAATGAATATTGAAAGAAGGTAACAAGTTATATAAATGAAATGTTACATTTCCCCTAACATAATGCTAAGCTTAATGAGAAAAATTGAAGTCACTACAGCAAATAGCTTTCACCTAAAATATTCTTTTTTAAATGACAATACTTGAAAATAGCAAACAATTAAGCCTAATTAAGAGTAAATTGTTTAGCCTTGAACATTCCTTAGTGTTGATAGTAGCTTTAATAAAGTACTAATGGTTAGATTTGAGCATGGAAGATGCCTGTGTATTAAGCAAATAAAATTATGCCCCAACGCAGTTTAGAGACCCATTAAATGTATTTTAATCTACTGTTTTGAAAGATTTAAAGCCAAATGGGTAATTTGGCATGGTTATAATTTTCTATGCCAATTAGACTTTAAACACATGAATAATTGCTTTCTGGTGAAGGCAACTTGATATATTTAGCAATTATTATAGTCACAATATGATTGATTTAACATATTTATATAACTCAAACTACAAAAACAAATAATACATATAGGATGCTATTAACATTGTGCTTGAGATATAGCACTCCATCTTAATGTGAACTATCAGTACACTTTATCAGTTGAATATCCTATTATAGTTTAATTTTTAACTTCAAATAAAATCAATCTATGGATAGAGGATTGAATATTTTGAATATAAACCCCAAATCATTTTACATCTTTCATATCATTTGTTTTAATCTCTGTATTTATTGATGTTCTCAAAATATTCATACAAGTAACATTAAAATAATCTGACACCAATGAGAAAACTCTTTGTTTGTTGTTATGTGGTGTTGGTAATAGAACTTGAGGCCCCAGACATCCTAGACAAGTGTTCCACCACTGAGCTGTCACCCAGGTTACATTTGTTCATTGTTCTTTTCAGTAAGTGAAAAATGTGTTTGTTGATAGTTTGTGCCATATGATAAAACTTTGAGGCCTAAGGTTAGCATGACTCTTCTCTCTTGATTGCTGAACCTGTGTATTGTGATTTGCATGAATCAGCATTCTTTTTAAGTAATATCCATGAAATTCATAAGCTGAGGATTTCAGATCTTGCTCTTTAACAATAATTCTCTCTTGTTTTAATGGAAATGTATTCTTATACAGCTAGATGATATTACAATTGTGCCTCCACTACAAAATTTTGGACCAATTAAATTACCAAAATAGTGAATAGAGCTAGATCTGGAATATGGTTTTGCACACACATAATCCTGGTTTCGAGAAGGCTGGAGCATAAAGATGCTGGAGCATAAAGATTGTTAGATGCCAGTCTTATTGGGATGTTGTATAAAACAAAATAATATAAATTAAACTAAATAAATTAAAATGCAATGGATAGAATACTATATAAACACAAATACACATGTACATGAGAACACACACACACACACACACACACACACACACACACACACCCCTACCTATATAATTCCAGTCACTCAGGAGACAAAGAAACAAGGATTGCAGTTTGAAGTCATCTCTGGCAAAAATTCTAGGAAGACTGTATTAAAATCAATCCAACCATGGTGGCACATGTCTGTAATCTTACCTACTCAGGTAGGGAAGATAGAAGGATTACATTTTATGGCTAGCCTAGGCAAAAGCATAAAATGGTATTTGTGAAAAAACAAAACAGCAAAAGTAAAAGGACTAAGGCATAACTCAGTGATAGACAGCTTTTCTTGCAAACTCAAGGCACAAATGCAATCCCCCAGGATCACCAAAATATACAAATTTAAAAAAAATCCAAGCATTTTTGTTTGTTTTGCTTTTTTCTGTTTTTGTTTTGTTTTGTTTTGTTTTTGTCAGTCATGAGACTTGAACACTTGACCTGGGACTTGTTCCTGAGCTTTTTCACTCAAGGTAGTGTTCTACTGCGTTGAACCACAGCACCACTTCCTTTTTCAGTGGTTAATTAGATATAAGAGTCTCATTCACATTCCTGCCTAGGTTGGCTTCTAACAATGATCCTCAGATCTCAGCCTCCTGAGTAGCTAGGATTACAGGCATAAGCCACCAATGCCTGGCTATAAACATGTTTTTTATTTGTCAAAGAAGTACAGTTTTTGCACAATATAAAAACATAGCAAAGTACAGAGCATGATTGGAAACCTCTCCCTGAATATCCCTGGAGAAGTCAAAGGAATATTCTCAGCTTCTGAATTGTTAAGATGTAGATGTTGATAAAATAATTACATATGCTGTGTGAGTACTGTTGATATTTAAGTATTGTATATGAAAATAGGAGATGTCACCTAGGCTAAGATACTGATATTATACTAATAATCAGGAAACTAACGATGTTCTCTCATCTGTCCAGTGTAAAACTTATGCATGCGTGCTGGAGAGTCACCTCATGGGCCTCACCATTGACTTCAGCACAGGATTTATCTGCTTTGATGCAGCAACAAAGGTAATGGCTCAGGTCAGCATGGAGAAATATGTCTCTGACTTTCTCACTCATGAACCAGTAGAGACCGTCTATTTAGCATTTTAATGGGTCATGATTTGCCAAGGTTTAATTTTTCATTTTTGTTCATAGAAGAAAATTATTTTTAATCTGTTTATAGAAAAAATGTTCGATGTTTTAATACATGTGGCAAAAACAAACATACTGAAGTAAATTTATGTCAATTTCCATTTGTAAATACAAATATAGATATATACTTACAGAGCTATAGACAGATGTGTTTTCTTTTTTTATCTCTTTTCTGAAAGATTTGCACTAATGAGAAAAATTTCCTCCCCCCTACAATTTCATAGAGGATCCCTTTATGAGTTTTCTGTATCAGTCTTGAAGATCAAACTAAGAAAATCGTGTCTTTACTAATAATTAGGAGCGATAGAGAATGGTAGAATTTTGAGCTTAGGAGATTTTTCCCAGAAAATTTATGATGAACATGTGACTCAATAAGGCTTTTGTCAATTTCATAAATTTTCCATTCCACAAAATATGCCTCTCTGAGAAGTATGCACAATGAATGATAAGGTCATTTCTTCAGCTTGTCATATTTTTCATTTTATTTTTTATTAAAAAAAAAGCAGCCTTTGTAACAATGGACTGATAAAGCTAAATTCAACTGGAAATGGTCTCTCAAGATGTGTGGCCCCAAACTGCCAATGCTAATCCTCTCCCTGCAGTGTGTGATGGTCTCCCACGGTGTCTCCTTCCTTCCCCCATCCCCCATTCCCCACACTCAGTGCTAATCCCCTCCCTGCAGTGGATGACTCAGTCACTGGGCTTCAGAAAAAGATGTTTTCTTCCTCCTCAGATTCATTTCACTTTCCCCTTTATCAAAGTCTGGTATGAATGAAAATGTTCCTTCTTAAAGATTAATAGGCAATCTTTGGTTAGGAAACACATATTTAATTTCAAAATTAAGGCAGGTGCAGGATTTTTCAAAATCAAGTGCCAATAAAACAATACAGTGACATAAATGTCTGAGGGCCTTGGAGTATAGGAGACAGAGGGGAATACTTTGATGTTCAGATTCATAGGCTTCTCACAGTGGAGTCCAGCTCTTCTTAGGTAGAAAGAACAGCCCGTGGTTTTCTATAAATGTCTATTGTTTCATAGACAGCAATTGAGATTGTCATGTGCAAAATTTTATATTATCTAAGGATGGCCAAAGTTGCCTTTTGTTTGACATTGTGAAATTAATTTGCACAATGATGCAAGTCAGGTTAGCCATCCAGTATGTGGCCTTTGCAGGATACTCAAATATACAGTAGCTCTTAAATATACACAACAGTGTATATTTGACTCAATATATACACAAATATACACAACAGTGGCTGTTTTGATGATTCTTAATGAGACTGACATCAAATCAGGATAAACCCATGGGTATGAAATTAGTCTCATAAGTTAATTTAATGATTAATCAAGTTGGGTATTAAATTAATTTACTAACTTTAGAAATATATTAAACTGATTAGAAAGATAGTAAATTATAATTTTAAAAGAAAACATTGTCCACACAATTGTTATCAAAGTCTTTCCCAACACTGTGAACAAATCTTACGTTAGTAAACAAGATAGAAATCAGTTTTCTGAACATGATTTTAACTATCTAAATCTCTTCTGAGTTTATTTGTGAGGCTAGTATAACCCACTTCAGCATGTTGTTTGCTCTTTGTATAACAAAGAAAACTATAGTTCTCATACCCTCTCCAACATAGCTGTCTATTTATGTCCTAAGTATGCTGGAAATGAGTGCTTAGAAAGGAGAATCAAAGTTAATTGTTACCATTCCTCTAGTGAAACAATGAGAATATCTCCAGTAGAAGCCAGACAGTCTGACATCTCAAGGCCTCCCTGATCTTTTTGATCCCATCATTGGAAGGAAGCATCAATGGTCAAGGAAGTCTAACTTCTTGACAGCAGGAAAAGAATCTAGAAACTTTCTAATGAAAATGACCATTGTATTAATTGTCCAGGGAGTGAGAAATAGGAGGGAAAGTAGAAGTTATTCATGACAGAATATATAAAGAGCCTGGGCAAAACACTAAGCCAAAACCTACTTACAAGAAACTTGTCCTATTATGTGGAATGGGCATTGAAATTATTTTAAAATACAAACAAGGTAATAGTTACATGTAAATTTAAACAGGCTGTTTTCATTTTTTAACATTAAAAAAAATCTCCAATCTAGGTGCCATTGTCTCTAACTTGTAATATTAGCTGCTCATGAGACAGATCTAAGGATCCCACTTCACTGTCAGCCAAGGTAGGAAAGACTGTGTGAATGTTAAAAAATAAATAAATAAATTTTATTGTAAAGGTGATGTACAGAGAGGTTACAGTTAGCTAAGTAAGGTAACGAGGACAATTCTTTTTGAACAGTGTCACCCTCTCCCTCGTTTCCTCCCACTTTCTCTCTCACCTCTACACCCACCCTACAAGTTGTATAGTTAATATCCAACATAGTGTATAGTTACTATCACTATTGAATTGGTCCCACCATTTCTGTGATTCTCCTTCCCTTCTCCAAATCAGATAAATTTATATATAAGACAAAGTGCAAGCTGGGCACAGGTGGCTCACACCTTTAATCCTAGCTACTCAGGAAGCTGAGATCTGAGGATCACGGTTCAAAGCCAGCAAGGGCAGGAAACTCCATAAGACGTGTATCTCCAATAAACCACTAGAAAACTGGTAGTGGTGCTGTGGCTCAAGCTATACAGTACTTGCCTTGAGCTGAAGAGTTGAGAGATAGTGCCCAAGCCCAGAGTTCAAGCCCCACAACCGACAAAAAAAAAAAAGACAAAGTGCCCAGAAATGAAACAAACAAACAGTGACACTAAGGAATAAACCAAAGTAGAAACAAGAAAAGGAAAAAGAAAACAGTATAATTTAAAAAACCCTCTTGTATTCATTTATTGGAGTTCTTTTCAATAAGCATAATTTTATATGGTCATGTGCACATAGCTACTGAGACATTGTGATCCTCTCCTAAGAATATCCTCCTTTGTTCTCAGTGTGTGAATGCTTAGAATGCTGTTGAATGAATCATGTCCATGTAATTACTTTTTTTTTTTTTTTTACTATCGATTGGTTTAACTTGTAGACTTATAGCTATATTCTAGTTATCACAAATGAGGAGAACCATGTAGCCTATGTTTCTTTGGGTCTGGCTTACTGGGTTGATTTCATATCTTTGCTATAGTAAATAATTCTACATGGTTGTGCTGTTGGCTTTAGAATGGGAGGGTTTGTGATCATTTGGGTAAATGCCCAAGAGTGGGATTCCCACAAACAGTATAGCAGCATTCCTTCTTGGCCATATCCCCTCCAGCATCTGTTGTTATTAGTTTTCTTGATAATGGCCATTCCAATTGGGGTGAGATGGAATCTCAAGGTTGGACCCATCAAAATCCCAACAGCATTGTTCAATGATATAGAAGAAGCAATTCAAAATATTCATAATGAATACTAGAAGACCCCAGATGGTAAAAATAATCCTTAGCAGGAAAAACAGTGCAACAGGAATATTAATACCAAACTTCAAACTCTATTACAAAGCTATAGTAATAAAAACAGCTTGGCACTGTCACAAGAACAGGCCTGGGGACCAATAGAATAGAATCAAAGACCCACAAATGAGCCCACAGACCTATAGCCACTTAATCTTTGATAAGGGAGCCCAAAACACAGGAAAGACAGCCTTTTCAACAAATGGTGCTGGGAGAATTGGCTACACATGTATAGAAAATTGAAGTTAGATTCTTACATATCACCCTGAATCAAAATTGATTCCAAATGGTTCAAAGACCTCAATATAAGACCAGTTACCCAGAAAATATTACAGGAAGGGATAGGGGAAACACTAGGGTTCGTTGGCACAGTTTGAAACTTCCTAGGATCCAGAAACACAACAAATAAGTGAAAAGCTGGATAAATGGGATCCCATTAAACTGAAGAGTCAAAGGACATAAATGGCAAGATAAAGAAAGCCCAGAGAATGGGAGAGATTTACTAGCTATACAACAGACAAGGGCCTCATATCAAAATATACCTAGAGCCCCCAAAATTAAACCCCCAAAAGCAAATCCTCAAAGAAACAACAACCACATTGATAAGTTGGCTGAAGACTTAAAAAGAGACTTCTCCAAAGAACTATTCAAATAATGGCTAATACATACTTGAGGAAATATTCAATATCTCTGGCCATAAAAGAAATGCAAATCAAGACTATGAGACTCTTATTTCCAATTAATCGCAGCTGAAAGTAGAACTGTGACTCAAGTGGTAGAACACTAGACTTGAGCACAAAAGCTCAGAAATCATGCTGAGGCCCTGAGTTCAAGCACCAGTTCTGGCGCACAGGCACATACACACACACGCGCGCGCACACACACACACACACGTGTCTCCAGTTATTTTACAATTTTTATGTTAATTTCAAAGACTTCTAGACTTCTTCAGAATCCATGTCTAGCAGAATTTTTTAATGATTAGATTGGAAAGGGTGACTTCAGTAGCTCTGTTCATTACCTTTAGCTGAGCATGTTTTGTCCTGAGCTCCATCTTGGCCAGATCCTCTAACTAAACCCCAGGTCTTACGTTAGAAAGTCACAAATTGAGCTCTGTATAAAGCAGATAGTGGCCTAATAGCATATTAGAAGATGGAAGGGGGTTGCTTCATTATGCTATTTTCAAAAGCAATCATATTTTTCATTTCTTAACTGAATTAAAAAGATAATAATAAATATAAATAATAATGACAAAGTAAACTAAAAAAATCTCACCATCTGGGAAAATTACTTCTTTTGGTTTGCAGAGAGAAAAAGGCATATTAGACAGCATTTTATTCCATATTGAGATGGCTCAGAGCATTGCCGAGTAACTGGTTCCAGGACTAATACAAAGCAAAGGCTGCGACAAGAGTTGTTATAGTGTGGAGTTTAGAG